GTTGAATGTAAATACATCACCCCCAATCAATTTGACTATCTATATGAACTATATCCCAGATGTCCAATTCTTTATACCCTCCCCAAGGTACACAAAGACTCTGTCCATCCACCGGGCCGCCCAATAGTTTCGGCTTTTGGGGGTCTGCTGGAACCAATAGGGAGATGGCTGGACAAGCTTTTTAAAGAGCCAGTGATGTCACTAAGCACTTGTATCAAGGACAGTAATGATGTTATCAAAATCCTGAAGGAGCTAGTAATCCCATCTAATGGATTGCTTTTGGCCACGATTGACGTCTGCAGTCTATACACCTCTATCCCACACCAGGAAGGGATAGAGGCAATGGTGGAAGTATTGAGGGGGGCAGCTTCAAGTTCAAGACCTCCAGTGGATTATATCCTAGACCTTTTACGGACGTGCTTAACCTTAAACTATTTCAGATTTGAGTCTACTTATTACACACAATTGACCGGAACGTCCATGGGAGCTCCGATGGCCCCCATGTACGCCAACTCATTTATGCACATCTATGAAAAATGCCATATTCTTGAGAGATATGCAACAAATATCTTGCACTTTATGAGATTTATCGATGACATCTTAATATTATGGATTGGTACTGCAGAAGAATTTGAGTCCATGATGTATGAATTAAATAATTTACCATCTCCGATCCGCTTCACCTGGCAGACCAGTACAAATTTTCATCCATAATAACAAATTTGGGTATACGTTATATTCCAAAGAAACAGATCGCAATACTTTGCTCCACGCCTCCAGCTTTCATCCACATAAATTGAAAAAAATGTCTCCCCATCTCTCAGTTTGTCAGAGTTTTCCGTAATAACTCTAACCCAGATACTGCACAGAATCAGATACAGGAGATGTATCATAAATTCAAAGCACGGGGCTATTCAGAATCTACCTTGGACACAGCTTACTGTAAGGCTCTACAGTCTATTTCGGAGAATAAGATCCATCATAATATCGGAGATCGATTTATTTTCCCTCAAGCCTATCACCCTAACTCCGATAAACTACGTTTAAGTATTTTGGAGAATTGGATGACTATCAGCAAAGATTCAACTCTGCCCACATTGTTCCAGAAGCCACCTATCATGAGTTATAGAAAAGGGAAAAGCCTGAAAGATTTTTTAGTGCATACTGATCAATTGTCTTTTACACAATCTCTCACGATAGCCTCTAATGCTGGATGTTTTCGTTGCCTAAATTGTTTGGCATGTAATTCCATGACACCGGGTAAGACATTCAGTCACCCTAGGTCTGGAAAAATTTACAAAATTAAGTATCACATAACATGTATAACAACCCATGTAGTGTATAGAATCGTGTGCCCATGTGGGCTGATATATGTGGGTAAAACATCCAATAACCTGAGGGAGAGAATGCGTGGACATCGGTCCACTATTCGGACAGCACTGACCAATGGAGTGGCAACTACACCTGTATCACGTCACTTTCTTGAAGCGGGCCACAATTTGGCGACTTTACGCTTCATTGGTATAGACCAGGGGTAGGCAACCTACGGCACTCGAGGTGCCTTTGCACGGCACTCAAGGCTGCTAGAGCCAAACAGGCTCTGGCCTATCAGGAGTCCCAGTAAAACTTCAGATATCTGCTAATCTGAAAAGATGGTGAAGGACAATCCTCAATTTATGCATTGCTGCACATAGAGGAAGTGATCTCAGATCACTTCCTCCCAGCACTTGTGAATGGGAATCCACACTGTAGTAGAGCAGCACGCAGTTGCAGCTCCTGTTCTTGACCTGCACCTGGCCGGTCTGGTCCCCACTGGAACCCAGGGAAGCCACCCACACCGCTAGATATACACAGAAATGCAGAATAACCCTCCCCTCATACAAATAATACGAACAGCCCATACACAATCCGAACAAACGCAACACCACTAACAATCCACATACATGCACACAACCCCACATGCAGCCTCTCACATGCAATACCCCAAACTTCCCCCCACACACAACCAAACACACAGTGTGACATATCCACACACACACAACTCAACAAGCAGCCCCCATACACAGCTTACATTCATATGTATCATACACAATACCATAAACTACTCATGAACATATACAAAATAATAGCTCATACGCAGGGCCGTCTTTAACGCGGGGCAAACGGGGCAGCTGCACCTTGAGCCCTGCTGGCCTCAACTATTTCTCACCCCCCCCGGCCGGTAATCCGCACACTAAGGAGGCCCACCGGCTGGCCCATGCACAAAGGGCCACCCGGTGGGCTTCTGTCAGCAGGGGTCTGGTTGCACGCTGAGGCGCTTTAACAGCGCGAGTGGGCCCCTTGCTTTTCAGCAGCAGGCTGGTAGGAAGGCTGTGCATCACTTCCTTCCACAAAGAGAGGAGCGTGCGGGAAAGAAGAGTAGGCAGAGTGGAGGGGGGCTTGGCGAGAGAGCCAGACCCCAACACCTTCAGCCACCAGCAGGAAAGGTAGGAAACTGGAGGGTGGGTTTTAAAGTGTACATTTTGTCTGTCAGTATATCTGTGTATTTGTGTGTCAGTATGTCTGTGTGTGTGTGTGTGTGTGTGTGTGTGTGTGTGTGCCAGCATGTCTGTGTGTGTCAGTGTTGGGGTGGAAGACGTGATTGCATATCTGGGGAGGGGGGACAGGGTCCAGGGGTCCCCAAAGCAAATGCTTTGCCCAGGGTCCAGTCAATATTAAAGACGGCCCTGCATATACGCACATATACAACGATACAAAGCAATTACAGTAAAAATAACACAAGCAGAATACAGCAGCACACGCACCTCAATTAAAAAAAAAATAGGACTGCACGCTACGTGACATCACAATCCTATATCGGCTCAGTGCTGCTAAAAGGTTGCCTACTCCTGGTATAGACCATGTACCAATCTCCCTGAGAGGAGGAGATAGAGACTTGGCATTACTTAAACGTGAAGCATACTGGATTCACACCTTGGGTGCATTATCTCCGAATGGTCTTCATGAGAAAAATGCCCTCTATTGCTTCTTAAATAGAAGATAGTATTGTTGCTTATGAGGCTGTTGTGAATAAATGATACTATGATTATATCTTTGGATACAATGTTTAGCAAGCCCTATACTCAGATACTTAGTTGCATAATATAGTATTGAGACTGAAATATAGAGTGGCTCTGTAGTTGGACCGATATATATTTCAATAGATATGCTGCAGATCGGCTTTGTTCTAATATTTGACTACTGTTAGCCTACTATAGAATTAGGAATTTCATCGTACAGCAAGATTTCATGCCATAGTATATCTTTTAAGGTTTGTTGTGTATATACATTTTTTTATTTTTTCATTTATCATCTTTTATATATTTTGAATTTTTTATTTTTTCTGACCTTGATAGGGTTAATATACACCTGCAAATTCTCACTTATCACGTCATTTCTGACATCACCTGACCTCGTTTTCATCATCTTTCACCCTCCAATGAGAACTGTTTTGTTATGTATATAACCATTGGCTATTCACTATATCAATTGTCTTGAAAAAAGTCAGCATTGACTGAAACGTTGAAATTTTTTTGTATTCTGCACAATAAAGCAGCATTTATTTTTCAAATTATAAGACTCCAGAGTGCTCTCTTATGGATACAACATACTGGTTGGAGATTGTTTGCACCGGAGCACTAAAAGACCGGGAACCGTGAGTGCTGGGATCTGGGAAAATATATATAAATATTTTATCAAAATACAGTTAGAATAAAAGTATTTAAAATATATATTTTTGAAATTAATTATAATATATACACACGTAAATTTACATTAATATATGTATATATTAATTTTAAAAAAAATACACTTAGTATGACGTTTATATATATTTTTTAAATTGTATTTATTAACTTTATTTTTTATGTGTTTTAACTTTAAAACTTTTTCCACCAGCAGGGGGACTGCCTGAACCCTGCTGGCAGCACTGGGGACACCTATTGCACCTTTTAGAGCGATCACATGGCCCCTGGGGGTCCTAAATTGCAAAATTTGTCCTCAGAAGAAGACGGTAAGTACATGGGGTTCATGTACTTAAATGAAATTTTTACCCTCGAGGCACTCAGTACAGGCAAAGCATCGGAAGCCTGCCTGATGGCTTCCGATGCTCTGCTCTACATAGCTGGGCGTCACGTGCGGCAACCCGGAAGTAATCACTCCGAGGAGAGCGATCACTCAGGCGCCCGGCCATGAGGGGGGGTATTGTATGAGGCCTCGACATCGAGCAATACCCATAGAGCATCTGAAAGTGGTCACCATCACTTCCAGCGCTCAAATTAGTCAAGGACGTTTGAGGTACGTCTGCAGTCCTTAAGGAGTTAAAGGATGCGAAAGTCTGGGACAAATTGTCTTGAAACTAACTTAAAAATGATTGCATCTCTTGATGCTTTGATTTTTCCAGGAATTCAGCAGAACACTCGTTGCAAGTTTTCTTCTTACATTCGTCTGGAAGCAGAATTGCACGTTCACTACAGCACAAATGTTTGGCCTTGCATGTAACCTTTTTGTGCGCTGGGGCTGTCGTTTTTTTTCCCGGGGGTTCAGGGCTGGACATATTCTGGAATGTACATAAAGATATTAAAATATCCAAACATGCGTTATAAATAAGTTACAGAGGTTAGCACTTCCAGAGAATGATACAGTTGTTTTTATCTAGACCCTAGACTGAATATAATACCACTTGATTATATTCAAGAGTAGTTTTCACATTATCAGTGTACATGAAACAGAGGACTATGTGCTGGGGAGAGTCTTGTTTATATCAAACTGTGTGACAAAAACCTAGGGATTAAGCACCATAACCACTACAGCCCATTGTAGTGGTTATGGTGCCCCTAAAAAAAAAAAAAAATAATAATTGCACACAACCCTTAAAAAGAGACTTTCCACACATCATATATTTAATCTGCTTCACAATATCTGTACCAAAAAGTGTACACCATGCAATGAGAGATGGATTACTGGGTTCCGGAAGCTTGTGGCATAAAAGGTGAACAGTAATTAAGCATGGCCACATCACACAAAATTTCAAGTTCAGGCTCTGTCGTGCCTAGAATGCATCGGTGGAATAGCACACAAATGGTGTTTATTTACTAAACTGGGAGCTGTAGAGAATCCCAAATGGCAAAGCTGAAGCTAAAATAGCCAAAACTGTGGCAATAGACAAATTGATGAATTTTCCCAAATTAGCTTGTTTTCCTTAAATGTTGCCATTCAGATTTCAGTTAGTTTTAATTTGTTGCACTGCATAGTAACACAATTCAATAATAAAACAAAAAGGCCAAAGTTCCAAATCAATTCTTTATTTAATCTGTAAAAAAAAACAATAGTAAAGTTTAATTTCTTCCATGGTACAGGGTCTGTGATGCAATTCTGAGTTATAGACCCCGCTAACACAGAAAGGGCTAAGGCCTCACCCCCTTGGGTATATATATTGTTGCAGGATGCTTTCTATTCTCCTTACCACCTAGTATGAAATGATTTAAGCAAGTCCCCACTATGTCATCTGCTCTGCAGAGAAAGCTAGGCTTGCACAACCTGAATGGCCTAGTATATATCTGCTGCTAGATTCAATTCACTATCTCCACCATTAGCCTTCAATATAACTGAGAACAGGCTGGAAGCCAGCCACAAATTTGGATACGTTCAGATTGTCAAATAAGCTCTATAGCTTTAACAAAAGAATCTTTCTAAAACTGCTGTTGCTGGATCCTGCTACATTACTAGCAAGTCAGCGGGTCCCATGATATTACAAATTTAAAAGAGCAGCCCCAGAAAGCAAACCTATAAATATGGTAAGTTGTTGTAGAATTCTGCAAGGGAAGGGTTTCCATAATCCAGCCTACAGTGACTAATGAGTTTAACAAATTAAGGCTTCCTCACAAGCAGAGAGCCCTATAAAACGGTCATTTTGCAGCACTAGTGCAACACTAGTTGAGGTCACAAATGCCTACAAAAATAGCTGCATCAGCAAAAGATCTTTTGTGGGGGCTTTGTCACTACATTACGTAATGGAAGGAAAACCTAATTTAAGATAGACCACAAAACCTGACTAGGCAAATAAATGCAAGTCACTCCCTACTGCCAATGAACGGTGGTTTTTATAAGATCTGACTCATGGACTAAAACAGAGCCTGCTTTTGTTGGTATTGTAAAATGTACTCAAGTTAATACAGCTATAAAAGGAAGCCCTTTTTTGAGCCAAAGTATGAGATATCCCTTTTAAACACCTAGGACCTGAGGGAGCACATTAAACTCCAGGGACCTTGAGGATTGAACTGGTTAATTCAAGATATAAAAGCCTTAGATTGCAAAAACGCCACTCCTGAGAAGGTTTCCTGGTAGAGTGGGATAGAGTATGGAAAGGATTATTACAGGCAGAAGCTGGGTCAGCCTCATGGCTAAGCTGAATAGAGGGGTGAGGCTGTTTGGTCCAAAAAGAATGAGGTCGTAAGGCGCAATAGTATTTATGTTGGTGGAAAGAGCACTGTGTGTGCTTTGATTTGCAATCTGTACAGATCTGGGGAATGGGTGGTTATTTAAAGAGCCCAGCTCATTGAGGGCATGTACGAAAATGCAGATAACTTAACACGCCTGTCAACAGAGCACTGCACTCACAGCACACATTCACTTGTACTGTTTGTTCAAAAAAGTATCAAAACGAAAGCCATAGAGAAACAGAAGGAAGAATAGAAATGTGGCAGCAAGAGAGTAGGGGTTGGTTTGACCACAGCCAGGCTGCAGCTGAGGGTTTTGGTCTTGGCACCAGTTCTCCCATCACACGACCAGCCGAACATTCAAACTGTCTTCCTGGCAGTCAGCACTCTGACTATGGAACCCACACCTCCCACTGACAAGGCCTGCAAAGGTGGTAAAAAGATTTGGTTTAGCAAAGAGTTATCGGCACCAGAGCTGTTCATTTTACTTCTTCACGGTGTACAAAGCAGACAAACTCACTCTTGGGTTAATACTCAATACATTGTTCCATAACAGACTTTGACAAATTAAACGGATACTAGGCACCTTAAGCACTTCATCTGACTGAAGCAGTTACGATTAGTTTTAGACGGAATAAGAGTCCCCAGTGCCTGTTGCTCTGCCGCCAGCTGGAGGTATGGCTAAGGCAGAGCGCTCAGCTGCCCTGCTCAACCAGTCATTGCTTCCATATAAGACCAAGCAGAAGAGAGTCCAGATTGTGGGCACCCACAAACTTTCATTTAGTGTTTAATCATTTGAAAATGTTTTAAGTCTTAAAGGGACACTATAGTCACCTGAACAACTTTAGCTTAATGAAGCAGTTTTGGTGCATAGAACATGCCCCTGCAGCCTCACTGCTCAAGCCTCTGCCATTTAGGAGTTAAATCCCTTTGTTTATGAACCCTAGCCCCACCTCCCTGCAAGTGACTTGCACAGCCTTCCATAAACACTTCCTGTAAAGAGAGCCCTATTTAAGCTTTCTTTATTGCAAGTTCTGTTTAATTAAGATTTTCTTATCCCCTGCTATGTTAATAGCTTGATAGACCCTGCAAGAGCCTCCTGTATGTGATTAAAGTTCAATTTAGAGATTGAGATACAATTATTTAAGGTAAATTACATCTGTTTGAAAGTGAACCCAGTTTTTTTTTTTTCATGCAGGCTCTGTCAATCATAGCCAGGGGAGGTGTGGCTAGGGCTGCATAAACAGAAACAAAGTGATTTAACTCCTAAATGACAGTGAATTGAGCAGTGAAATTGCAGGGGAATGATCTATACACTAAAACGGCTTCATTTAGCTAAAGTAATTTAGGTGACTATAGTGTTCCTTTAACAGTAGGACAGCGCCAGGGGACTACAGCTGACATAACCACTTAATTGAGCAGTATGGTGCCTAGAATGTTCCTTTAAGGGACACTAAGTTACCAGAACAACTACAGCTTAATGAGTGTGCTGGCGAGTATAATCATTGCCTGGTAATAATCTGGTTGGCCTTAGATGGCCACTGGAGGGGCTTCATGGCTCAGGGCTGCACAGTAGGCAGCTCTGCCGTTCAACATCTCCACACACTGCATGTGGACACTGAAGTTTCCTCATAGAGATGCATTGATTCAATGCATCTGTATGAGGAGGTGCTGATTGGCCAAAATGTAATCTGGCCCCGCCCCTTGACAATTTCAGCCAATCCAATACTTTTCCCACAGGAAAGCATTGGATTGGCTAAAAATCTGCAATTCTGATATCACCAAGGGGGCAGAGCTAGCGCCGGCAGACCCGCATGGCGGTGGAATTAAGGTGAGCTTTAATTGCTTTTAAGAGGGCTAAGTATCAAAACGAAAGGGACAAGCCACCTAAATGGTAGGTTAAACACTATAGGGTCAGGAATACAGGTTTGTGTTCCTGACCCTATAGTGTTCCTTTATATGCTATCAGAGTAACAAACAACCACTGTTTATCCCCTTAAGGACACAACTTCTGGAATAAAAGGGAATCATGACAAAATATTTCCGTCATGTGTCCTTAAGGGGTTAAAGATCAGAAAGCCAACATATGAATCTCTAGCTGTAAAAAAAAAAAAAAAAGTACATCTCCAGTGATGCTTAGCAATCAATACACTGGAGATACCATTTACTTACAAGCATTATATTTTCAAGTTGTAATAACGTGCTTACTGATCAACAACTGGAGAGATTGTTTCACAGAGAAATAATCTGGAAATATGGAAAGAATTGCTTCTGTTGTGCTGCTAGCTTTCGAATTTGTATAAAACCGATACAGATTAGAAAGCTAGGTGACTTAAAGTTACACTGGGTGCCAGGAAAGCCTTGGCAGCTGTGTGGCCACACTCTCCTATATATAGTAAATCCTGAACGTTAGCTACAAAGGGGTAGCAATCCAAAGTTCAAATGTTTATTCTCAAATAAGACACCAACAAACATACCGTACAACGCTATGGCCTAATGGCTTTAATAAAGGTCTAATAACTGGCATCTTAGTGACAAATAATAAATAAATGACAAATCTTAGTGTGTGAGTATACTCTAGCAGATATAGGCACTCAAAATGTTGTGAACTACATCTTCCCTGACGCTTTGCCAAAAATTTGTTGGTAAGAGCATTATAGAAGATGTAGTCCAAGACATCTGGAGTGCCGAAGGTTGCCTACGCCTACCCTAGATGCTGTGGCAGGGGAACTGCATGCTCAGTGTCTCTGGGCCCACACTGCAGCAACATTTACTGCTATGCAGTCAGTAGATCAGGAAACTCCAGAATATCAATATATAAATAAAATAAGATGCTCTTTTTAGAGACACCAGGTCATGTTACTCATCATGGGATTTATTTTGTATTAAATATCTGTGTACCTATTTCCTTTCTATGGATTTGTGTCAAAAAAATATGGAAAGACTGAATGGAACAATCTGTATTATAAAACAACGCAAATTATATACATTTCCCTGCCAATGTCTGTATCACCTTTTCGTGCCATTGCAGTAACACAGCACTGCTGTTTTCAGAGGGGTTCTCAAAGCCTTTGTAGATATATTTCATTAGAAGGTCCACACCATTCTTGTCCAGGGACTGCACAGCCTTCTCAATTTCGTTGGTTTTAAAGGAGATTAGAACCTTGAGTACCAAACTTTCCGCTCGATCCTGCAGGAGAAACAAGGGCCGGTGAAATCAGATACCAGATATATAAAGAGGACAGGTGAAATTACACCTTTTTGGGTGTTATCAGTGATGGTTTATTAACGAAACAGCAACTTTTGTTGCGATGTAAAGATTTAAAAAACAAAAAAATAACCTCTGTAACATGGTTTTTAGTTGACTGTTTAGTAAATAAACCCTAATCTATAAATAGACAGTGACACTTCAATTTATATGAAATAATAATTAAATAAACAGATACAGATTAGAAAGTTAGGTGACTTAATTACATTGGGTGCCAAGAGAGCCTTGGCAGCTGCGTAGCTGAAAACATCTGCTCCCTCTATCTGTGGGTCATTACAAAAAATAATGTCTTAAGCATATCCTTTTATCTGTAGCAGATTCATCACTGTGCCCCCCCCAACTACACTTTTTCCCCCCCCCTCAATGTTTTTGTTTGTTTTACAACATTACAATAATTATAAAATTGAGGTGTATATGGCTACATAACACTGTTTCAGGCAGGCAATGCACTTGACTTTCAGGTCTCCTAAATAACGAATATAAAGAATAAAATGTCCCAGAATCCATTAAACATGGCCTAGGATAATATGTGCTTGCAGAGAATATGGGAGAAGCCATGTGAGATGCAAAGCTCAGGACATATCAGTGATCGAAATGCAGAAAGATAAGTCCTGCGCTCACTCCCATCACTGGGCGGCAGCAAAGACTACAGTACACATCAGCCCCAATATATAGTAAAAACCAGAGAAAAACAAGTTATCTGCGCTCTCTCCTTAATCCCTATGTATTTTTAAACAAATGGAGGTTTTTTTAGTTACCTCCAGTGGCCATGAGTGGATAAACCCACCTGCCAACATCAAGGCAGACCCCCCTCCCCCCCCCCAGGTGGTTCCTAACTCTAACCATTGACTTTGCTTCCTTGAGCTTCTGGCAAAGATCTCTAATGAGACAGAAGGGGATAGAGCAGTTTTATCAGTGATAGAGCAGTTTTGATAACTTTGAGAGGCAGCGGAGGAAAGTTTGTTTCCACTTGATATTATTGAAGCGTGTACTAGGGTGAAGAGAGCAACTTGTCCAGGGCTGAGAAAAATAGGAACTGTCGTCAACAAAGATGCGACAGTTCCTCTTTCAAAGCTAGACATCTCTAGTCTATAGAAAAAAAAGAAGGGGGGGGGGGAGATGTGAACATATCTAAAATACAGTCAATAAATTCAAGATTTGCAGAATCAATTCTATTGAGTAATTATTTGTTCATTTAAATAGAATTTTTTTATTTTATTTTAAATCATAAGAATAATAATGGTCTCTGTAAGCAATCCAAGTCAATTAACAAGGGACACATTCTGCTTGATTGTGAAAACACAAGCGGAAGTATAGAAGGTTTACACAAGCTGCCTTCCAGTAATCAGAGACCGGAAAGAGAGCATCTGTTCTTCCTCCCACTAGTGTTCCTTGTGCTAAATAGGCCATTTAACTACCATAGTGGATGGCACAACACACTGCTTTTTAAAAACAAGACCTAAAGAGGGATATAAACACCCAGACTTTTTCTTTTTTATACAGGAATTATTTTTATTTATACAGCGTCAGCAAATTCCGTAGCGCTGTACAATGGAATGACAGGATTTGAGCAAGGAGTCTGGTAGAATTGCAACTGATGATATTTGTTGATACTGGGGAGACAACAAGCAAATAATGAAATATATTAAAAAGGACACCCTACATAGACAACTTCTGGAGGTCGTTGCGATTACGGAGTACTGAGCCTTTGGGTGCGGTCCCCAGATTTCCGCGCGGACCAGTTTTTAGGTTGCAACCCAGGTGTTAAGAACCATTGAGCACACATATCTGATCGACAAACAAATACAAACGCTCCATCGCTACAGATATGCATTATTTTGTCACTTACCTTGGTAGACTGGTTCTTTGTATAAATGGGTGGGTTCTTTAAAACAGCTTGAAGAGCACCCATCATGTTTCCTGTACACTAGTGTTAAGGAAATTGTGCAGAAACTCACAGACTGAAATGAAGTTAACTTTTTAAAAGTCCGTAATGTTAGCTGCAGAAAATATGTAGTGTTTAAAGAGGAGTGGTCACTCACTTTTTTTTATTCCATATTAATCAAAAAGATATAAGCAAATACTTCCGTCTTTTCGACAAAATGATATTTTTTAAGAGAGGAGAGCTACAATATCTCCATAACAATGTACACTAGAGTGTTCTATGGCACCCCAGTGTACATATGCTAGATACTACATGGCATATCTAGTGATCTCTCAAGTTCTTCCACCTGTTTTGTAATTCCCCGCATGTGCAAGAGTACAATAATGAACAGTAAATCTACCATCTCCCTCTTCATGCAAGCGATTATATTGATAGGTCTTCATTAAAATACAGATACACCAAAAAAAAACAAAAAAAACACAATTGCACTTTTAATGGTTTACTGTTGTCAGAATTGCAATGTCACGCAAGCTGCGGTGTTTATGGTACTTGGAGGTTTCTTTAAAAGACTTTTACCTATAATAAGCGATATCCTACATGGGGTCTTAATTATTTTAGTTGTAATTGCTGGCTTTAGGATTAACCTAGATCCAATAAAATTACCTACTTATTCTCTGCAAAATATTGGCATTCCACGTTCTCCCTAGCAAAGATAGACCACAAATCAAATTTATATTGATAACTTGACTGCAAGGGTTAGATGCACAAAGGATAAGTGGTCATTGATACTAGACTATGCGGAATCCCTTACATATAAAAATTGCTTATTATCGATAGATGTATTTTAAAAAGGCCTGAAAAGCAGCATGTCCAGGGAAATATGGTCATTAAAGGGATTCTTCGGTGCCAAGAAAACAGATTTATGAAAACTACAATAATTACACATGCAGGGTTAAAGGACCACTATAGGCACCCAGACCACTTCAGCTTAATGAAGTGGTCTGGGTGCCAGTTCCATCTAGGATTAACTCTTTTTTTTTTTATAAACATAGCAGTTTCAGAGAAACCGCTATGTTTACAAATGGGTTAATCCAGCCTCCAATTCCTCTAGCGGCTGTCTCATTGACAGCCGCTAGAGGCACTTGCGTGATTCTCACTGTGAAAAATCACAGTGAGAGCACGCAAGCGTCCATAGGAAAGCATTTACAATGCTTTCCTATGCGACTGGCTGAATGCGCACGCAGCTCTTGCCGCGCGTGCGCATTCAAGCGAATGGGAGGAACCCAGGAGGAGAGCTCCCCGCCCAGCACTGGAAAAAGGTACGTTTTTACCCCTTTCCTCTCCCCAGAGCTGGGCGGGAGGGGGACCCTGAGGGTGGGGGCACCCTCAGGGCACTATAGTGGTCCTTTAAGGGTAGTTGGCACCCAGAGCACTCCAATGGGCAGAAGTGGTCTAGGTGCCTGGAGTTTCCCTTTAATGATAAAAGGTTTACACTTTGTTTGAGAAGGGATTTTTCTCTCTTTTTGTGGCATATTTAGAAATTGCTCAAAGTTGGAGCATTTCAGTTTTATAAACTGCTCAGATCTGATGATGCTGCCAGAAGTCCACCTCCGGCAGCATCATTAACCCACCTAAAACAAGAGTTCCAGGCTGCTAATGTTAAAACGGTGCATAAAAAATGTCCATCAACAGCAAGCGTAGCATGCTCCAACAGACATAGAATGGTGGCACAATTACCCTCTCTGTGCTGCCCCTCAGCCCTACCAGCGTGACATCCCTCCCTAGTAAAGAGGGGGAATGACGTCACAGAAGGAGGGTTTATTGCGGGTGAAATTAAACTATTCTACTGACAAGAGTGTAAAAAATTTAAAGGGACACTCCACTGACCAAATGAATAAAAATGTAGAATTCACGATTTAGTATATATAGACCCTGAAGATATGTGCATGCAAAGGAGGAATATTTTTAAGAGAGCTTGCAAAACCAGCCTATGAACTGCAAGCCCTTTTCTCTCCCAGAAGAGACTAACATCTCTTCACGGGGAAACAGCCTATCAGGGGCTTCTTATTGAGTTCTAGGGGGGTAGAGCAGGTACGCACCTAACACTTTTAATATAATATACACACACACACACACACACACACACATATATATATATACACATACATACACACACACATACACGAGTGCGTGGCTAATTATGTGAGTTTTTTTTAAGTGGTCAATGGTGCGTGGAGTCTGTATATAATGCTTTCTGCTAAAAAAAAAAAAAAATGCTGGACAAACAGACATTAACCCCATAGCTGCTGAAGATTTAACTCCACCTCTGGTAGTGTCATTATGCTGGATAATATCAAACCTGGGTATAATTAGCACCTGACTGCCAATGGTGGCATACCCACCTCATCTGTCCTCCCTGACCTCACACCTGCTCGCATGAGGGGAAGTGGCGTCTGCCAAGATGGATCAGGCTGCATGAAGAACTTTAACTTTGCGATGGAAAGGAGGTTTTATGTTGTTGTTTCTTAAAGTTTGGAGGGGGTGGATCACCTCACAAAAGGGTTACTCTAACAGAACAAACTGTGATTTAGGAGTAATTTCGCTACAAAGTATCTAAAAGCAAGTTTTCCCATCAAGAAAAATGCACCACCGTAACATTTTAAAACAGGATTTATTTCTTAGTACAGAACTAGAATTCCACGGCTATAAATTTACTTATGTAGTCTAGAAGCACATACAGCACAGCTAAACAACCAACCAACCGGTATGTGCCAACAAAAGTGCTGTACCAGCTGTAGAGGTAAACAGAATACGACCACAGCTTAGGCAAAACCTCAAAAGAACAATGGCCGCCCAGCAAGTTGGGACTCACTTTCAAATTCCTCACTAAGACAACATATCACGGCGTCAAAATTGTGACAATTACACTGGTATCTCCTCTGTTTAAAGAGAAGATGGTCTATTTTAGTTTTCTTCTGAAGAGAAAAAAGGGACCCGGAGGTTATTTCTAAAAATTAGCAGGAATGGATCAAAAACGAAAATATTTAATATGCACTTATTCCATTCCTCCCAGTTCGAGGCTCCTTCCTGCATTCCTGAGTTTCAAGCAAGACTGTGCATGCATCCTTTCCAGCTGGGCTGTACACTGTGTACTTATTGATAAACTACGTGAGGTGTACACTACGTATAACCTGTGCCAGCAAGAAAAAAGGGCTCAAAGTGCAAGCACAATGCAGCTATTGATTAAACCTCTCCCCACCGTTTACAACAAAATAATCTCACTCGCTAGCAGAAAAATCAAATGCAGCAAACACAGGAACATAAAACAGTAAAGATACAAGGTGAAATCATTTAGAGAACGGGAGAATGTGTGCAGTGCCCTTACATTCAAATCCTCCCCCCACACAGTGTACAGAGCGGTTTGTGTGTGTGCATACCTACACTTCATGAAAATGTGACATATACCACAGCTACAAAGAGTGAAACAAAAACCACAGAATGCACAGAACACCTTTAACAACAAGCACCAGTGATGCTTAGCTAGGCGATTCCCTAGCAGAGTATCACAGAAAGTGTAGTCCAACATCATTCACATACCCATGCAGATAGCAAAAAGAACTATACTCCTTGCATTATTGTTATTAAAAAGTCTCTTGAACCTTTCTCACAATATATAGGAGAAAAAAATACTCAAACAAACAAAAAACAAAAACAAAGCCATTTTGTGTGTATCCTTAAAATATACCAATTAATAAAAGCATCAGTGGGGGTTTCCCACACAGTGCTTTGTGTGTGAGTGTATTTTTCCACCTATAGCAGTATGGGACACCAAGCATCCCTCTTTTTCCATCACTTTACTTATATTGTATCTCATTATAGGTGGGTATATTTTTGCTTCTGTGTGTTTATTCCTAAATTCACTTAACCTACATGAATATGGCAACAGCACACTACCCAGTATGAATAGGAGATTGTGTGTATTCAGCGTGACATGTAAAGCGCTGCGGAATAAGTTGGCGCTATATAAATACCTGTAATAGTAATGTTGAATATCAGTCTCCTTATGTACCTATGTACTGTGTGAATCAGTGTATGGACCACCTGTGCTATCAGGGCAGGTGGTTTGTGTATCTATATAAAATAGATATGTATGGAGCATGGTGTGGGTATGCAGGTTTTGTATGGAGCATGGTGTGGGTATGCAGGTTTTGTAAGGAGCATGGTGTGGGTATGCAGGTTTTGTAAGGAGCATGGTGTGGGTATGCAGCATGGTGTGGGTATGCAGGTTCGTATGGAGCATGGTGTGGGTATGCAGGTTCGTATGGAGCATGGTGTGGGTATGCAGGTTCGTATGGAGCATGGTGTGGGTATGCAGGTTCGTATGGAGCATGGTGTGGGTATGCAGGTATGTAAGGAGCATGGTGTGGGTATGCAGGTATGTAAGGAGCATGGTGTGGGTATGCAGGTATGTATGGAGCATGGTGTGGGTATGCAGGTTTGTATGGAGCATGGTGTGGGTATGCAGGTATGTATGGAGCATGGTGTGTGTATGCAGGTATGTATGGAGCATGGTGTGTGTATGCAGGTATGTATGGAGCATGGTGTGTGTATGCAGGTATGTATGGAGCATGGTGTGTGTATGCAGGTATGTATGGAGCATGGTGTGTGTATGCAGGTATGTATGGAGCATGGTGTGGGAATACAGGTTTGTATGGAGCATGGTGTGGATATACAGGTTTGTATGGAGCAGGCTGCATATATAGAAGTATTAATGAAGCAGGCTGTGTGTATATAAGTGTGTATATAAATATGGAGCAGGCTGTATGTATATAGGTATGCATGCATGTATGAAGACTTTGTGTATATGTGTAAGTATGAAGCAGGCTATATGCATATAGATATTTATGTATGTATGAAGCACGTTGAACATGGTGTGTGTATGTATGACACATGCTATGTATGTATATAGCGTATGTATGACACATGCTATGTATGTATTTAATGTATGGATGACACATGCTATGTATGTATATAGTGTATGTATGACACATGCTATGTATGTATATAGTGTATGTATGACACATGCTATGTATGTATATAGTGTATGTGTGACACATGCGATGTATGTATATAGTGTATGTATGACACATGCTATGTATGTATATAGTGTATGTATGACACATGCTATGTATGTATGTATATAGTGTATGTATGACACATGCAGTGTATGTATATAGTGTATGTATGACACATGCAGTGTATGTATATAGTGCATGTATGACACATGTTATGTATGTATATAGTGCATGTATGACACATGTTATGTATGTATATAGTGTATGTATGACACATGCAGTGTATGTATATAGTGTATGTATGACACATGCAGTGTATGTATATAGTGCATGTATGACACATGTTATGTATGTATATAGTGCATGTATGACACATGTTATGTATGTATGTATGGCACATGCTATGTATGTATGACACATGCAGTGTATGTATATAGTGTATGTATGACACATGCAGTGTATGTATATAGTGTATGTATGACACATGCAGTGTATGTATATAGTGTATGTATGACACATGCAGTGTATGTATATAGTGTATGTATATAGTGTATGTATGACACATGCAGTGTATGTATGACACATGCAGTGTATGTATGACACATGCAGTGTATGTATGACACATGCAGTGTATGTATATAGTGTATGTATGACACATGCAGTTTATGTATATAGTGTATGTATGACACATGTTATGTATGTATATAGTGTATGTATGACACATGCAGTGTATGTATGACGCATGTTATGTATGTATATAGTGTATGTATGACACATGCAGTGTATGTATGACACACATGCAGTGTATGTATGACACGTTATGTATGTATATAGTGTATGTATGACACATGCAGTGTATGTATGACACATGCAGTGTATGTATATAGTGTGTGTATGACACATGCAGTGTATGTATATAGTGTATGTATGACACATGTTATGTATGTATATAGTGTATGTATGGCACAGTGTGCTCATATTAATCCATGATAGAAGGATATCCCCGTATAGCTCCATCCACTTCCCCCTCGTCCGGTCCTTGCTGCCCCTCTGCCACCTCCTCCTCATCCACGAACTTGTTCTCATCGTATTCATCCACATCCACTCTCCGGAAGCGGGCAGACACCGTGTTCTTCGCCATCCCGGAGCACAGCGCCGAGCAGCAGGCAGGGAGCGGCCGGACTCAGTGCGCAAGCGCAGCGGCTTCCGCTTTTACAGCCGACCGCCTTCCGGGGCCTGCCTGGCTGGCTGGCTGGCTGGCAGGGTGGGAGGGGGAGGGAGAGAGAGACCTTCACCAGCTATTAGCCGCCACTACTGAGGTAGACATGTCAGTGGTTATGGTTATTATACAAACACAGGGGGATGTCAGTTAGCCAGCACTGCCATACCTCCCAAGTGTCCCTGTATAGGAGTGACAGTCCCTATTGTGAACCCAAACCCCTCCATCTCCCTTTTCTATCCTAATGCCCCTCATTTCTAATAGTAATGTGTCTTTAAACTACAATATATGTGTTTAGAAATCAGTCTGTGTAAATAAAATGACTTGTTCTAAATTGCATTTTAGTTGAATAGAGCTACCTAGAAACATAGAAACATAGAATGTGACGGCAGATAAGAACCATTCGGCCCATCTAGTCTGCCCAACTTTCTAAATACTAAATAGAATTTCTCAGAATAACCCTACACCCCCAGTCAAACCCCTAAAATTAAAGTGTCCCTCTTTGTCCATTTCAAATGTTGGGATGGATGCACTGGGGTATATACAGGTGAATGCATTTCTTCCCATATAGAAATATACAAGATTAGCCATCAATGGGCTATAGATAGATAATCTATCTATTTATCCATCCCTGGTTAAAGGACCACTATAGTGCCAGGAAAACATACTAGTTTTCCTGGCACTATAGTGCCCTGCGGGTGCCCCCACCCTCAGGGTCCCCCTCCCGCCCGGCTCTGGAAGGGGGAAAGGGGTAAAAACTTACTTAGCCTTTTTAGGAAAGCATTTACAATGCTTTCCTATGGACGCTGGCGTGCTCTCACTGGGATTTTCACAGTGAGAAGCACGCAAGCGCCTCTAGTGGCTGTCAATGAGACAGCCACTAGAGGAAATAGGGGAAGGCTTAACCCATTCATAAACATAGCAGTTTCTCTGAAACTATGTTTATGAAAAAAATGGGTTAACCCTAGCTGGACCTGGCACCCAGACCACTTCATTAAGCTGAAGTGCTCTGGGTGCCTAGAGTGGTCCTTTAATAACTGGTGAGACTGAATGCCTTGTCCACATATAGGGCATTTAGGTTGCCAAAGTTTGCCATCGTTGTAAAGCTTGCAGTAGGTTACATTGTTGCCAGTCAATGCTATCCATCACAAGTCATGGGTCTCAAACCACTGGCTCACAGGGCATTTGCAGCCCTCTAACCGCCTTCTTGCGGACCACAGTATATCGGGGACGCTGCCAGTTATCAGACTGTTCAACCACATTGTCTAGTAATTGAGTTGCTCGCTACTTTCCAATTAATTCAGCATGTCAGACTGGCATCCTGGTGGGGAGAGCACTTTCTCCTGAACATTGTGAGTGACGACAGAGCGAACATGACAAATCATCTCTCTGTCTACACACTGTGCACAAGATCTTCAATGGAGGGTCCTCTCAGACATGTCCAACCTCTCAGGATGCCACCATTCATTTGTTTGTTCCCACGAATTCGTCCTTTTTTACCAAACATTCGGTTCGTGAATTGGACGCATTCATGGGATTAGTTGCCGCTAAACTCGCAAGACTGGCGGTGCCCATTTTCTGATCTCCTGTCCTTCTGGCTCTGTGCTCTACCTCGTGTCTCTTCCTCTCTGCTGGTCTGAGCCGTGGTGAGCTCCCCTATCTCTACCCTCTCTGGTGTAGCTAGTCTGGGATCATTAACTCCTGCTAGCCTGTACTGTTTTATTTTGTTTAAACTATTTGTTCAGTCCATATATTTTGTTGGGGAATCTCACGGCATACAATGCCCAAACCTAAAGTGCCTGCCTGTCCCCTTTCCCCTGATGAGATGAACATTCCCCAGGGCTTGGGGAGCCCCTATTCCAGTTCTAATTCCCCTTCATCTGCAGTGGACCCTTTGTCTCTGCCTGTTGAGTCACTTTCGCTCAGTCACTGACGCCATTATGGCAGCTATGGGCTCTATGTCCTCTGCCCTCTCTCAGACCATCTCCCAGGCTTTACTCGCATGCCCACTGGCCGCAGAAACGCATAACACGTCCTGTCTCAGACCTTTCAGGGAACGCACTTAAAAAGGCTACCGCCAAAGCCAAGCACTTAAACCCTTCTGCCTCCAAAACCCATATGACGGGTGTACCCGTGACCACCCATGATAAGGTGCCCATGTCATGCAAAAGAGCCTTTCCATGCCAGGTAGAATGGGCGTGGCAGTGGAAATGTGCTAGAGCACAACATGAGAGTGACTCCGACTCAGAAATTGGGTCTAGTGAGGAGGCTGGCACTGATCCTTTAATCCCTGCTCAGTCAGGGGTGGCTGTGAGTGGCTCTCGGAGTGACTCCCCCGCTACTGCGGGCCCCACCCTCATGAATCCATCTGGGGAACCCATGTTCGTCCCGGATGCTCTCCATCATCCGAGGTCGGCTGAATGGCTCCCGGCGGACCTTGTGGCTGGTTACCTCGAAAATTGGGTATGGCGCCCCCTCAGTAAGGCAGCATGAAACAAACTCAGGGCGGAATGCCCACGGCCTTTGGTGCTTAGCAAAGTATGTGAGACCCCGATAGTCGACCCCAAAATGACCCAATTCCTCTCCAAATTGGGATGGAATCCTCGCAAGGGTCTGGTTTCTGCACTAAAATCATGCCAAGACAAACATCTGGACATATTTGGTCCCTTGGCTAAGTTATTTGACCTGGCTGAAGTCGCCAGAGCCGAAAACAGGCAGGTTGACCCTGAAGAGCTCTGTTGCTGGGTACAGAGGGCAATCTGCATAGCGGGCAGGTGTTAACACCTCCCTGTCCATTGAACGGCGTAAAGCCATTCTCTTTAAAATAGAGCCGAAGTTACCCAACCTCACCGAGGCGGGCAAAGATGCCCAGGGCCTGTTATTTGGGGACTCCTTTATAAAGGACCTGGGGTGCTTTGTGGGAGCTTTTACAGCTCTGGACAAAGCCCAATCCTCCATGCAGAGAGTATTTCGAGGGCGGGTCTCTACCAGGGCCGGCAGATTCAGGGGGCATCTGTCCGGCCGTTCCAATTACCACTCCCGTGGATCGGGACGAGGCTCCTACACCCAGCGAATACCCTACCAGGAGGCAAGAAACCAGTCCCCCTTCTTCCCTTCTCGTGGAAGACCATAGCGATCCAGAGGCTTCAGAGGGAACTCTGGTTCCAGACGCCCTTACGGTAAGCTTGCATCTACCTCATGTTTTTTCCAATATTTGTGTAGGGGGCAGACTCCGTAATTTTTCCCACACTTGGTCAGCCATCACCTCAGATGTTGGAGTTCTGACCACTGTTCAGGGCTTCCACATAGAATTGGTCGACACTCCGTGTCACATTCCTCCTCCTCGCCCTACTTCATTCTCCGTGAACGACCGCGTCTTGATAGTGGTGGAATTGTCGGCCCTACACAAATAGGGGCGATAGAACTAGCCTCCACATTCCCTGCAGGGATACTTAGTAACATCTGGTGGAAAAGAAGGGCGGTCAGATGCGCCCAGTTATCAATCTTCATCCCCTCAACGCCTTGGTGCGCTACTGCCATTTCAAGATGGAGGGCATCCACCTCCTGCGAGACTTCACGCTATCTGTCGGACAGCAACGTTTGGAGATTGGACATAGGGGCTTTCTCCGGTATCTCATCTCTCTGGGGTCCTTTTGGCATCGACCGCTTTGCATCCTGGCTCAATACCCAGTTACCACGGTTCTACAGCTGGCACCCAGATCCGGCAGAGGCAGTGGATGCCTTCCTGCAAGACTGGACCGGCTCGCTCCCTTAGGCCTTTCCTCAGTTTGCCATGATCCCTCGGGTCCTGCTCCAAGTTCGCCACCAACTGGCCGACCTTATTCTCCTGACCCCATTTTGGGGGACTCAATCATGGATCCCACAGCTCCTGAAACTTGTAGTGGATGTGCCCAGACTACTTCCATCCTACCCGGACCTCCTTCTGGACCCATCGGGCTGACGACAACCTCTCCTGCTGGATGGGTCGATGCTGCTGGGTTTTCAGGGGTCCCTGGGAAGTCCAAGGGGTTTCGGAAGCAACTCAACGCCTCCTGGCGGACGCATGGGCTCCCGGTATGAGACGATCATATGGGACCACTTGGAGAGCTTGGGCTAACTGGTGCCTGGCTCGGAGCATGAATCCCATTTCGGCACCTGTAACTGTGATCCTTCAATTCCTCACTTCGTTATTCGAGGCTGGTCGTGCATTTCGCATGATTAACTTGTACAGATCGGCCATTTCCTCGGTTCACCCGGGCTTTGACGGCTGTCCTGCAGGAAAACACCTTTTGGTGTGCCGCTTGCTTCGGGGCTCGCGACTGTTGTGCCCTCATAGGCCTAGATCCTCTGCTACTTGGGACGTCTCCTGCGTTTTGTCGCTCTTTACTTCCTGGCCTAACTCGGACCGCTCATTACGACAACTGTCGGCCAAATTGGTTTCCCTTTTTTGCCTCATTTCATGCAAACGGTTTTCGGATGTTCTTGCCCTGGACTATGATGCTAGGTCTTTCACTTCAGATGGGGTGACATTCAACATCTCCAGACGCACTAAGACAGCTATTTGGTCGGTTTCGTATCTGAGTTTTCCAGTTACTCTGGAATTGTATCCAGTGGCTTGTTTGCGGGAACATGAACTTCAGACGAGTGCACATTGTTCGGTTTCGTCCCCTCAGCTTTTCCTCTTGGTTCGTCAACCTTTTTCCCCTGTGTCCAGTACTACCTTGGCTCGCTGATTGATGTTGGTGGCTGGTGTGGATACGTCCATCTTTAGTGCCCATTCCTCCCGGGGGGCATCGGCCATGTCTATGGTGGTTTCAGGGGCGTGCCTGGAAGACTTGATGAGGATGGCGGACTGGTCCCTCAAGTCCATTTTTCGCAAATTTTATTTTCGACCAACCCCTCACGTCTTCTGTTATTGATCAGCTTTAAACTTGCAATATGAGCCTCTGTGTCTTGACATAAAATTACATGATTTTGTTATTTCATGACGAGTATTGTCCCACCCTTCTATGTTTCTTTCACTTGATTCTCCCT